TAAAGGAGTTAATGAGAAATCATTTAGAATAAAGCCATAGAATAATAATAATTATCTTGTATGTATTTAAATAATAATAGTTAAATGATACAGTAAACAGTACTTCCTATTTCTAAGACCAGAACAATCAGTATATGAATCTACGTAAAAATAATTGAGAAATATAGCCCAAAATAGAAACATTTATGCAATGATAACCTCACACATATATAAACTTAAAAATTGGAAACAATACTCTCTTATCCTTTCTAAACATCATATCATAATAATATTCTTAGTCATTTCTTATTTGTAGTGATCCAAAATCATTTGACTAAGGAAAAGTCAGTGTCTTTTACCAGGTGCTGGCTATTACAAGTCTGGCAAATTGAAAGATAAAGGAAACTATACATTTTCCAGACTTAGATGTGATATTAGATGGTCATCCCAACAGGCCATCAGTGAGAAAATTAAGCTGTAATGAGTTTTCAAATGTATCATATTTTAAACTCTAGCCTAAACTTGTATAACTGTAGGGTAAAGACACAGTGTATTATACATGGAGCCCTAAACCACATCCTCTGAAGCACAGTTTAAATTCTGTGAGGTCTAAAGGGATCATATTAAAATAAAGATATAGCCACTAAGGAACAAACCCTGGGCCAATCCTTAGAGTATATTCTTATAATAAAATCCCTTTCTTTCTTCCATTTATCCTTTCTCTATATTAAAATCCTACTGCCAAGCAGCTGTATATTAAAGAAGAAAATCAGAAGAACCTAAAGATAGAATGGCATATCCTTAGCTCTTTTTAAACCTTTTTACTTCATCCACCATAACCTACGAAAAAAAGGTTTCTGTGTCCTTATTTAACAGATCAAGCTGACAAAGTGCAAGACTAAACACTGTTCTGAGTTGTGTGACGTGCTTCTATCACTAAGATTAATCTGTGCAATAAGCTCTCCCTGCACAGAAAACATTAAATTTACACATTTCCTGCTGCCACTCTGCAGGAGTAAAGAGAAACTACCGACTGAAGATCCTACAGAATCCAACACTTCCGGTAGTGTCAATTTCCTGGTCCCCTGCTGTGCTCTGTGGGTCCTTCCACCAACCTCTACATCACTACACAGCAGTATCATAGGGATTAGCAGATCAAACAAATAAGCACAGCAGGGGACCAGGAATCTGACACTCACAAAAGAGCTCTTTGAGGGCAGGGACTGATGTGAATGTGCAACTATGTAAATCGCTATGTAAATTGTCTGCTCTATATAAATATCAATAATAAATAAATAAGAGTCAGATACTGCAGGATCTACAGCTGAAAATTTATTTTCACTATTGTAGAGCTCAGCGGTCTGACAGCAGGATAGGTGAGTACTCAATGCTTTCTATGCAAGGAAACCTTTTTTGAACAGATTAATTTCCTGTATAGTCATTAGGACATGAAGCAGTCAGCAATAAAAACCTGACAAAGGTTTTAACCTTTCTCCTCTCTAAAAGGATACTTACTGTATTGCTCTGCTGCTATTATTTGTATCATCAGATTGATTGCCAGATTTTGTAATATGTTTCTCCAGTAATATTCTATAATGTTGTCACATTGTGTAGTATGTCTGATGCTCTCCCTATGTATAGTAAGTGTTGTATACTTTGCTAATGTACAAAATGTCGGATAATGATAAAAAAAGATATAGTTGCTGTTTCCTTCCTTTCCCTTAAAATCTGCAATAATGGAAAAACCGACACACAGCATACAAATAGTTTCAATGAATTGTTTTCCTTTTAACAATAACCCCTTTTTAGGATCATTCACTCAAGTGCATTGCACCAAGTAATAATCAAAATAAGATTTTTAGTGTTATTAATGCAGGTAAAAGCAACATAGAGATTTGTACTGGTGTGCCTTCTGATTTACTACCCTTGCTAAAAAGCCATTGACAGCAATGAATAGCTCACATTTCGAAAAAAAAGAATAGAGAATGTTTTAACCATCTCAAGTGCACATCTCAGGGATCTGCAAGAAAACTGTACCACACTAAATGCGACTCTGCGGTGAAACAGTGATTTCCCAAGAGCGCTCTCGTGACGGATATATTTCAACAAAGTGCTTGTTTCCCAATAGGAGAGGAAATGTGTTTTGATCCTATTCTGACTGATGCACAACCCAGATCTTGCAAATCTTGATCAACAGAAAAAGTAGCAGGGAAAGCATTATAAAACTGAAGCCAAGTAGAGCCTAACCTTTTAAAGTAGGGATGAGTAGGAATTCTGTGACAATATCTAGGTATTTTTCTATTTGTCTGTTGCAGTTTGAGTTTACTAAGATATTATTGACCTATGTTTAGGTGTTCTCCCACTAATGCAACAGAGGATTTAAATAAATAATGAAAAATGTTTAAAAGTAGAAAAGCTAGCAAAAAAAAATACATTTATTGAGTTGTGAATTATCAATCAAGCCAAATAATTCTTGAATGCTATACAGATGATTGTAATATGAAAGCAAAATGCATACTTGATCCAAGAAATGACTGCAAAGTGTGGACATAGGGAATCCATAACCTTTAGGGGAAGGAGGATTCATGGTAATGCTGAAAATGATAATGACTGATTATTTGCATTTGGTGTACTTGATGTTTCTGGCAGGGTAGGGTAAAGGACACACATTAAAGTGAACCTTTCAGTACAAAATACAGAACAAACTTCTAAAGCTCATTAATAGTAGACAACAAAAAGTACCTGTACTTACCATCTACCGAGTAGAATTTGGTCAAACCTTTGTGAACAGGCAAACTAAACAGGGTGTTTGTCTGCCAATCTGAACCTCAGTCCAGGGGAAAGAGCTACATTTACCAGTGGTATCACCAACAGAGGTAAATATGATAGCTTCTTGCTCCTCCTGGTTGCTAGGAAGCCAGCAGCCATCGGCATCCTAGCAACCAGTGATGCATCCCAGCCGGCCTATTAACCTACTATCCAAAGGGCCTGGAATGGACTCTGAGGAACCCCCTGGCCATTTTTATTAATTAAATCTGGGTTCATTTATAAATGCCTGGTATAGATGAATGGAACTCTGGCTGCTTTGTAAAGCTGATGGGAAATGTAATTTACCAACAATTTAGAAATGTCTTTAATATTTCTGTAGATGTCAGTTTTGCTGCAGTAGATTGTATACATCATACAGGTGCATCATTTCACGGGCAGCTTTAGGACATAACAAAGGCATGTTATTTAAAGGAACTGTGCATTTAAAATATTGTCCTTTAAGCATTTAGAAAGCTGCTCTCTGCCAAATGTTGTTTTTTTGTATTGTACACATTCCCCAGGACAATGCCCATCTCCCCATACAATCTGTTTGATTTGGGGGTTCCCCATTACAATTTGTAAGCTTAGACATGTAATTCCTGCTTCCATCAAAGAAATACTCCTACAAATTGTAGGTGCGCGTATTGTGGAGCACAGAGAAAATATTGCCTGGGTTCTGACTGGGATCTGGTCTATAAAGTGATGGCAAAAATTGTGGACGCTTTTTGAAATTTTAATGCTCCTGCCACACAGCAAAAATATGCAATCAGTGGTTCACAACAAAGTCCATTCCATTGCTGACCTGGCCAGGAAACAGCCCTTACCTGAACCTGATAGAAAATTTGTGGCACCATTCCATTTGAAAAGCCTTGTACGAATGAGCCCTATATCAAATAAAAGGCAATTCATTGAGGCTATAATTGCTTCCTGTACAGTATGTTCAGCATTCCCTGCATATTTTTTTTGTATTGCATATATTCTGTTTTTTTGTATTGAATTCAGCATGAAATGTTCTTTAATATGACACATTTGCATTTGGTGCAATATAACATTTCCTATAAGCCTGCAAAGTTGCAAAGCATTACATTTTCAAAAAGTGTTTACAATTTTTACCACCACTGTATATTTCTAGCTGAACATATACAGGTATGGGCGCTTCTGAGATATGCAGGAGAGGAATTTTCACAAGCAAATATTACAAACATGAACCTTGTAGTGCATGCTATCATCTAGTTATGCATGTTTTCCTTGACATTTATTTGGCACCCATACAGTCTGCTTTAAAATGATCATTTTTATTTATTTTTTAAAGAAAACATTCCTTCTTTAAAAAATCAGCCTGAAATCCAATGGTTCATTTTACTTCACACCTCCAAATATAGCAATGATTCAAGTTATGCAAGACCCTTTTTGAAGCCAGTAAAATATTAAAGCCACAAACCATTACTATGATGATAAGGTATGAATTGGATTTAACAATGCTGGATTTTCAATAAAGGATTGCTTTTATATTTGTAAAAGAAATGTTAAGGTCCCGCCAGATCCAGTCCATTCTGGTGCGGTTCGAGCACGGAATGCACTGGATCGCATAGATCATGCCAGGCTGCGTTCTGGGGTGGGAGCGGGCGTGGAGGTGCCATTCATGTCAATGGCACCATTCATGTCAATGACACCGCAGGTATGCCCCGCCATCCCGCAGTTCGATTACCCTCACGAGAACGCGGGGTGCAGGAATGCCCTCCATTCTGGTGCAGTGTGAACGGAAAAAATTCTGCATGCACTATTTTTTCTGATCGCATTGCGCTGGAACGGGAGGCATTCTTGTACCTCGCGGTCCAGTGCGAGTGGTCACACTGCAGGCAGGGGGCGTGCCTGCAGTGCCATTGACATGAATGGCACTGCCACGCCCCCTTCCACCCCAGAACGCAGCTTAGCCTAATCTATGTGATCCAGTGCGTTTCGGGCTCAGGCCGCAATGGAATGTACTGGATATGGTGTGAATGGGCCCTTAATTTTGATTTTGTTCAATAGGATATTATTTTATGGACATTATTAATAATCTAATGAGGTAAATAGAAGCACAAGACAGATTGTCGGTGTGCAACCCACAAAACAGAGGATCGTGCTATGCAAGTTTCACACATAGTCATAGTTTAACATGTTTCCAAGAAACGTATTACATCTGCAGAATTTAATTTTTTTCACAAACTTACCTCCTTCATTCAAAATCCAGATTCCCCCCAGGCACACAGGAAATGCTTTGAACATCTGAAAAATAAATAAACTATTATTGTAAGTAGGCAAAGCATAGATGGGTAATTTTACTTGCTAATAGTTTAAAAGTTTACTGTTTTATTATTGTCAATAATATCTAGCATGTATACATCCTACACTAATTTGAACTCTCTTGTTTCCACCTCCAACTGTCATTTTAGTAATTATTATTAGTAAATTATTCCTAAGAGCATGATGCAGCAGAAATAAAAAAACCACTTGTGATATTGGTAACATTATAACATAGATATAATACTTCATAACTTAGAGACCAGATACAAGGCAGGATGAGACAGAAATTAACATCTGTCATCCTGTGAGCACCATCCCTTGCTTTTGGGCTAGGAGAGAGATTGTGACAAGTGGGGTGACCTCAGTGCACTAATGGCCATTTCCACTAACCAGCAGGAGCCACATGCTGGCCATTAACAGCTTCATTTATAGAGCAGCATTATTGTCTTACCATAGCCATATTGCTCCTTTTAAAAACAGAATAAGCACCACACATTGACAGGAGAAGAATCCATGTGTAGTTTGCTTTAGAACAGAGGTAGCCAAACCTCAGCCCTCAAGCTTTGGTGAAACTGCAAATCTCATCATGATTCTGCCTCTGGAAGCCATGTTTGTGGCTGTCAGAGTCTTGTAATACTGATATTAACATGCAGTAGTTCCCTCAGAGAAGTGAGGATTTTGTCTCTGCATGGTGCCACCAATGGCCGAGCAACTACTTTTATTAATGGTGGACACCAGTGCAGGACAGACTTCTAAATGGGAGATTTTTATTTTAAAGATAAATATTTTCCTGTTAAGATTCCAGTCTGCTCACTCAACAGGATCACATGGTAACCTAGGTCAGACATTGGTTTGATTCAGGTGCCTGTCTTTTCAGGCATGGACAGACCTGAACACACACTTTGCCTATTGTTCCCTGGGACTTCCAGAAGTAGCCTTTTTAATTTTACAGGAAGGATACATTGTGGCCAAATACACAGCTGTCAACTCACCTAGCAAACTCAGGAAACACACAGTTTTACAAGTCCTCTCCTGGGTCTCCAACAGGGTTATTCACTAAATATTGAACAGTTTGGAGAAGGCAGGAGAAGTGAACAATCTAGGACAACATAACTGAACTGGGAAGTGAGCTGAATTGGAGACTTTTTCCAAATCAGCTATTTTTGGCCTAGATTGTTCACTTCTCCTGCCTTCTACAAACTCTTCACCCTTTTGTGAATAACCCTGTAAGTGATTCAGGTAAATCCCCGAAGTCTCTAGGAAAAGCTCTGCATCTGTCAGAGACTTTGGAGACTGTAGTTGTAGTCTTCACTAGGAAGTATGAAATGGGGGGGGGCGAAACACCAAGTGGGCAGAGAATGCATAATCTCCAAGTTCAACTTCTCCTCTTGGCAAATCCCCACAAAGTAAGGATGGGGGTGTTGGGTGACAATGGGGTGTGCAGTGAAAGCAATGTGTGCAGTGACAGGGGGTGTGCAGTGTCCGGGGTACAATGGCAGGGGTGCTGGGTAACAGGGGTGTGCAGTGTCAGGAGTATTGGGTGACAGGAAGGTGCTGCCCAATATCACCTACATATATATTTTTTCCAGGCATCGCTGCAGTTGTTAATCTCCTGCCTACTCTTCTCTATCTGCAACAACCAGTTTAACTAGCAATTCATTACAGCCCATGTGTCAGGTAAATCCCATTCAAGATCAAGTGGGCCAAGTGGGACTGTTTGTCACAATATGCTTGTTCCAGATTAGTGACTCACTATATACAGTAATACCTTGGTTTACGAGCATAATTCGTTCCGGAAGCATGCTTGTAATCCAAAGCGCTTGTATATCAAAGCGAACTTCCCCATAGGAAATAATGGAAATTCAGATGATTCGTTCCACAACCCAAAAATATTCATATACAAATGATTACAATACTGTACTGTAATATAATACTGTACAAAATATAAAGACAAATAAACCAATTACCCATACCTTTGTGGTTGGTGTGAGGGGGACGAGAGAGAGAAGGATTATTGTGTAGGACGACTTTCACTATCACTAACGGAATCACTGCTATCTCTTGACTCAATGGAATCTTTTTCATTTCGTGAAACCTTAACAAGGAATCTATCCAATGTGACATTGTGTTGTCGTTAAACAGACTCATCGCTCACACAGCTACAGCCTTATTCGGGTGGCGCTTTTCTACAAAATTTTGCTCTTATTGCAAGACATTTGCTTGTATATCAAGGCAAAATTTTTCAGAAATGTTTGCTTGTCTTGCAAAACGCTCTCAAACCAAGTTACTTGTAAACCAAGGTATTACTGTAGTAAAGCAAGCATAAGGATGACATCTCCAGCACTAAAGGTTGCACTGTGAAAAACATGTCAATGATGGCAGCTCCCACATTTTACTCTTGAAGTACTTTTTACATTTAAGGTTACTGACATTTACCACTGCAGTATTACTATAAAAAATATATTTAACATATAGCACATGTAGTGTATAATATTGTTTGAGAATAAGAACTACAGCTGCAGGTAAGTGCACTGATTCACAAACTATATGAATATAAGGATTTGGATTTGCAGACTTTTCATTCACATGAATATGTTCATGCAGAATTGCTCTGCAGAGAATCCCACACAGTCTATAAATCGAGGCAATAAAAAAAGAGATTTGATCAGATTTGCTAATTTGTAAATCAATTTTCTCATCTCTGCTGGTCTGAATTGTGATTGTATTTCGATATACGAAAACTAACAAATAGCTTTTTGCCAAGATAGTATGAGTGAAAAGTACAATCTGGGAATAAAATTCACATAGTAAAATACACTGCATTCTCTCCAGGCATATGCAGAAGCCGAGAATTGTGTGAAAGACCCATTAGAATTCCCTCTTCCTGCTTAAGAAACAGAATAATTCATTTTTTTACTCATACATTTTGTAATATTTAAAGTAAATGCTAGATTTGCAGTAACAAGACTTTTTAACAGAATGTCATCTATTTATCATCTAAGTCCATATTGTACAACCTGACGTTATGTTATGTTTACATAAATAGACACAAGACATGCCAATTACAATTAAGCATTGTCTTTGACCTCATACCGTAGTATTAAAAGGACTAATTATGAAAACAAACATGTTGCATCAACTATATGTTTAATAATAAAATGCAAAGTGTACTAATGGTCAGAATTTTAGTAATACAGAGCAACCAATCGGATTTAGTTTTACTGTAGTCATATCAGTGGATGTCTGATTTTTTCATTTTGAATGGTTTCATAACTATATGTCTCAGCTGCTGTCATCCAAGATCATCATTCACAAAAGCCAGTGCGTAACTTCTCTCAAGACACAGCAAACATAATTGTTAAGGGATAGACTGCATCTGTGTCAAGTTGAAGAAAGCAAAACATATTGCTGCTTGGAGGAACCCAGTAAAAGTAAGCTAGCAATGAAACATTTAAGATGGCAGATAAAAAAGAAAATCACAAATAACATGTAAATAGAAATGTTACTGAAAGGCATGACATTTGTTATTACTTTGTAGTCTACCAAGGTAGGAAGCATACATCGAAAACAGTGAGGTTCTCTTGACAGAGCTCAGAAATCTATTTTGAAAGTGGGAAAAGCATTAAGCAATCTTTCAGAGGCATAAGTGAAGAAATGCCACGAGTGAATTTATTTGATGTATTACTGTTTTTAAAAGTCTAATTACATAAGTATTTATTTGCATATGCAATAGGGATGATAAAACCACTTAGTTTGAAGCAGATGCCTGTGGAAAATTAGTATTTTGCACCACCACAATTCTTTTGTGCATTTGTTCTGACAGCTCACCCACTCTGCCTCCAAACACCTCGAAGAAAACTGCTAGCAAAGAGCTCCACTCCTCCAGTTGTCAGTTCTATGTGTATTGACAAAGAGTAGGCAGTCTGTCCCATCATAATTGTGCCTCGTGCGTCTTATCCTGTGTGGTGCTAAGGATAGCCAGTTGATTGGGTAAGGCGGGGGGCAGAACAAGAGTTAGCCTAGTGGGCAGGAATTATAAATCCAGCTATGGTCATTTATAGTTTTTTAACTGCGGACAAAAATACATGTGGTTTTCTGCATACCATTTACTAAAGTTTCTGCACATTTGCCAAGTTGCTTACAGACGAAAGTTGACAGGTTGTACCTTTATTTCATTACTTTTTGTCACTTGTCAGCAAAGCTGACACCTTTTATTTATAATCTTCAATCTAATGAAAAATGTAATAGTTTCTCAAACTCATTCTAATCATCTGAAGGACTGACAGAATGAATTTCCCCTGAGGTGTGCCACTGACATCAATAAAAACATGATAGAATAGTGCCAGGTACCGTGTCACTTAGAGAAGGGACCCCAGAATCTCCAAAGAGCCCTATTACATTATAATAAAATTAGTGAGTAGCTGTAAGTTGCTGTAAAGGTCAGGTCTCTGTTATGACCAGATGGCCACTGTCTACTGCAGGCTTCATCTTTAGAGGTAAGAATGTAAGTTCTGAAAGGTTAGGCATGGGAAGGTAACAGGGTCTAGGCAGACTGAGTGCAGGAATTAGGAGTCAAGCTAAAAGGCAGAGCAAAGGAGACAAGAATATGAGCTTGGCAATGGCAGGATACCCTGACATTTTGAGAACATGTCTAAGAAGAGAAGCAACAGGAAACAGTAAAATAATTACAGGATTACACAAACCTACATCCTAGTGACATTAATTGAAACTAAGTAATAGACAACAATAGAATTGACTCTGGTGTTTGTTTAAAGGAATAAGGACCAATCAATAGGCACATTGCATCTATTTGGATTAATAGGGTAGGTATATGTGCACTGAGCATAGTAAAGGAGTCTGGAGTGTAGGAAAAGCAAGTCAGGACAGGCAACAACCAGAGGAACAGAAGCAGTTGTAAAACGGGACCCAGGAAAGAAAAGAGGAGCAAAAGCAAGCACAACAGGCAGCCAGCAAGACGAAGG